TGTTTAGCACCTTTGAGTTCTGCAAGCGGGTCTGTCTCTACAGAAATGGTTATATTGAATCTCCCTTAAGCTACAAACTAATTCCTGGAGTGGACCAGAGTTTACAACCACAAGAGTTGCAAGAATTAAAGTTTCTCCGAAGAGGAAATTTTGAGCCGCCGAAGCCAACTCTTGAAAATTGACATTGGAAAGTCCATTAAACAAATGAATGTTGCAGTCATTCTCTGCCACGTCTACAACCTGAAGAAAGCGTAGCAAAAAGGAAGACACATTGCACTAGAGGTAGCAACACTTCAGTTTACTGTATGGCCTTCCCTGGGATTGAAACCCCCATGTCAAACATGAATAAACCTTGTAACTCATGTTGTTAATTGATACAATCAATTCAAGCTTATCTGAAGGACACACACATTTTGAAACTACTACAATACTTGAAATCTACTCATTTGGGGATTTTTCAATGCTGAATAGCTTTTTAATGCTAAAACCACTTGCAGAGAATAAGCGATGTGAGCCATGATCATGAATTATGATTTATTTAAAAATATTAGGGAAGTTTAAAAACATTTGTAACACTTGAGAGCACTGAACACATAGAATTCAGAATAGATATGGTTAAAAATAGAATAAAATATACTGGGTACGCATTTCTACTGAAATCTGTCTGTTACTGATACAATATAGACTTGGCATTCTGGATAGGCAATATTTGTCCCCACATAATTCACATTGTTGTCCTCCTAATTCTTGTTTTCAGCTTTTGTAAAACTTATTTGAGAATTGAATAATTTTCTGTGTCCCCAGTTGCAAAGAAAGATGAAAACATGCTGCAAAGATACTTTTCCCAAGAAAGAATAGTAATATGTGAAACAGCGCTAAATGATGATCTCTTTGCCCACCCTAGTATATTTCTACAAGTATCTGAATTATTTCCGCTTTGGGGGAAAAACAAGACTGTTTATATGCTGTGTTCATTTTGTTATGACTAACTCTACCTACTACTGTGTGAAAAATACAGAAAGCAAACGCGTTAGATATTTCAGTGTTAACACTCTTATATGTCTGTCAATATTTTTAAAGGTGTATTTTATATTAAATTAATTTTCAGAGATGACAGTTTTATGGTCAGAGCTTAGAATGCTACTTAACCTCACCATCTCTTTACAGACACAAAAGGGGTGGTCCCTTTTACCTGCTGTGATCTATAAGTCAATGCATTGTCATGCTTTTCTGAGGAGGGGACCTCACAGATATAAAACACTATGGAATGCTACAGCATGAGGACTAGTTTATTCCCAGCTCCGATAAGTGTCATTCAGGGGCCAGCCCTCATATCAGTAAGAAATGGTTGCTGGGATCCTGATTCTTCCAGGGAAAGTATAAAATTTCTCTATGCAGCATTGTGACACCCAGTTGCATCTGGCACAGCATCCCTGATTCCAGGTGCCCTCATTGCAGTGTTTATCACTCAGGCTCTGTGAGGCAAAGGGTAGTCAGTGGCAATGAGCTATCCTCCCTGACAGAGAGAGAAACCTTTGCTTACCTGGGGAATTGTAAAGAAGCAATGGGTAGAAAGTGGTGGTTAAATTCAATCTTAGATGTAAGGAATAAAGCCCTTGAGAGCAGAACACTTTACAATGATGAGTAAAGTCTTACAGCAGCCCTGTATCAGCTAAGTATTAATGACCCCGTTTAACAAATGGCTCTCCCTGTCTTCTTTGTCCAAGTTCAGCCCTGCTGTAAGCTGGTGTTTTCAACTGCAGTTGCTTCCAATTATACCAGAGCTGAATTTGATCCAGAAAGGTTCAGGGCTTTACTAAAGACCGCACACCAAGACACTGGAAGAGCTGGGGATTGGAATTTGTCCTTTCTTGCTTCCCAATCCTCTGATGAATCCAGCACACTGTATTCCCTTAGCTTAGAATGGTAATATTTTTAATGGATACTTTTATGTATGCAGTTGCTAATAAAGAGATGTATCAGAAGAAGCAGAGTAGACAGTCAGACTGTGTTAAGAAGAGCCGAGCCTAGAAAGGCTGCCCAAAGTTAACCGAGATAGACTAATCTATCTCATATTTTTGATAAAAAGCTGGTTGACGTGCTTGGCAGACTTGACTAGGCCCTAGGACTGTTCCATCCTAACTGTTGTTGATGGGTTCTGCTACCTTAGCACTTTCTACCAATTTCATTTTCCTAGAATAATCTTGATCTGATTCCTCCTACCTGAAGGGAAATCCTTTCATGAACAATTATATTAATTTCAGCAAAACTCAAAA